TTCCTCTATATAATAGCTTATACGTTCTTCCCCACACTTACTCTTTCGTTGCTGTGTACTTTCCTTTTGTTGGTGCACAACTTCTTCAGGAACTTAGGGCATCTAGGTATTTGTTTGATAGCATCAAACATGGGAAAATTGACTTCAACCTTGGGGAACGTCTATAAGATTTTCTTGTCCTCTTTTTCTTTCTTTATTTTGGCAAATCTCTACAGAATAGTGGAAGGATATAAATCATATTTGAACGATCAGAGCTTGTTTTAGCTGGGGGGGCATTGTCATATGCTGCTAACTCAGTGGCATTGCCCAAGGCTTCTGGTTCTGTTGCTTTTTCTAAGCCTCGGACAAGGCTTGTTTTGGTAGGGATCCCTGGTAGTTCTTTCCCACCTCATAAGGTAATTGCACTGACGTTTGGCCTCGGGTTCACTTCTGCCTAGGAGGGTAATTTTCCTTGGGACTCTAACTTACTCATGAAAGCTGCCAATTGGCTGACTTGGGTCTCTAAATTCTAGATACTAGTTTTCATTTCCTACTAAAATTGTTGGGTGTTAGTAGCAAGAGATTTTACGATTTTTTCAAAAAACATAACTTGTTTTAGAGGTGTCACTTGCAATGGCAGTGATGGTCTATTTGGATATTATTGGTAATGTTGTTGTCGTGCTCTGTAGCTAAAGTTTAGGTAGTCTCTCCATCAGGGTTGTATATGTTGGAGAAATGGTCATATCTTCTTTGTGGTTGACTTAGAAAATTGCCCGCAACATTGACTTGCTACTAATCGTCTTCTTGAAGCGTAGGGTACATATTCATGGGATGTTCCGAATGTGCACAAATTTCACACACTCTTACTCGTTGAATTTTTTTTGTTGCCATGTTTTTCACCAAGTGATTTAATTCAGAAATTTGAGACTCGATGGAGATATACTTACCTCATTCACCCTTTGAGGAGTGTTGCGAATGGAACCGAATTGCTGAGAGGTGGCCACAATTATTAATATTAGCTCCCTTGCTTGTCGTGGTGTCTTGTTGACAATGGCGCCTCCACTAGCAGCATCCAACATCCTTCTTTCTTAGAGTAGTAGCCTTTAATAGAAGTAATGTATCAAAGACTAATCTGATATATCATGTTGCAAACAACTTGTGTATAATTGTTTAAACCTCTCTCAATAATCATGCAAGCTTTCAGAATCTCATAATATCGGCTGCTAGAGATACAGGCCTTCACCATCTCCACCCACGTCGTGATTAATCCGAGCGATAGATAAAACAACCACTCTTTGGCTGCATCATCCAGAGAGAATGAGAATAAGAATGCTCACAGCGTGATTTGCTCTTCAAACACACCTTGGGGTTTCATGCTAGAGTAGACCATATGGAATTTTTTAAGGTGTTTAAGTGCATTCTCATTCTCCATACTCCGAAACTTAGGGAATAAGTGGATTAAACCATATTTTAGTTCAAAGGGGACATCCAAATCTGGGTGTGTAATGCAGATGGGTTGCTAATTTGTGGGGGGCTGCAAGCTCCCACAATATGTGTTCTTGTTCCATGTTTTTTGGCTCGTGTATTGCAGGTGGAGTGTTTTTTTGATGTATTTGCCTTCTTTCTCTAGTTTATCTCAAGCTTTTTGCGATTTTCTCAATTTTTCGATCGTAAAGGAGTGGCTCTCCACGATCAGTCCTGGTCATAAAAAAAAAATTAATTAATCTCAACTCCCCGATAACATCCCCAAAATTTGATGGGTGTCAAATTCACCAAAAATAAAAAACAAACAAGGGTAATTTTGTAGAATTCGATACGTAAAATATAAAACAAACAAATAACAGAATAATATTAGACAAATTTTTGGCTACAGATAGAATAAAACTATTATAAAATTGATTCTTAATTAATAAAATAGCCAACTCTAGTAATGTAATTGATGATAGATGCAAAAATTTGTTTTACCCAAATTATGACAAATCAATTATAGGTATAAAAAATGTTCTAACAATCAATCCTTCTTTATTTCTAAATTAACCAGAAAACATTTATTAGTTGGTGTTTTGTTGCCAAGTAGTCTTGGGAACGCCCACAGAATTTAACTTACCAATAGCCTTGAGAGCTAGAATGACCTTATTTAAGTTACTGAATTCATTCGCGTGAACTAGTTAACTAAATTACTTACCTCCTCAGTGTGATATTGGTCATCACTAGGTGCTGGAGCCACTCAAATAATTACAAATTTGAGGAATTCGGCTAGTTACTTGCTGGTTTTCCAACGTTCAATGGGCCATGTTCAAACGGATTCAAAGCAACAAATATATAGATGCTGAAAGTAAGTAAATACCAGCTCTGAAATAAAACTCAAATTAATTCGATTAGACCTCACAAATACATTGCTGAAGTTTGTTAGATCTATCAACTAGGAGAAGAAAGTAAGCTAGCCACTCATAGTGGGTTTTTCAATATAAAAGAGCTCTTAGAGAGTAAAAGGAAGAAGAAAGACGAAGAAGAAAAATTGCAGAAGCAGTAGAAGCTGTTGTGTGCCAAGTCGAGAAGAAGAGATATCCCCTTTTTTACTCGTCGCAACTTGCCTTTTATCCTTCAAAAGTGCTAGGGTTTCCCTTCTCTCCCGATTTGCAATCTTCCCTCAATTTTTGACATATCCCTAGCTTTCTAGATTGATCTCCATGATTTTCTGTCCGTAAATCTGGATTTGAATAGGATTTGCTTTTAAATTTCCAATGCGCGCCTTTTTCCTTTATAAATTGACCGTTGTGCACGACTCTTATTCTTGTCCGAGGCAAAACTATCTAAAGCAGAACGCAAGCCTTGCCCAATGCTTGTTTCGGTGCTAATGATCCACTTCAAGAATTCTTCCTCTCTTCATGTTGTTTTTTCCCGTCTTGCTCTAGTATCCCACACTACAACAAAACACATAAAATAGTTTAGACTGGATGATGTACCATCAAGTTTAACAACCCAAACGTGGGTGATAATTATGTTATTTTTAGGTATTATCAACATTCTAAATATAAGTCCCACATTTGTAGTTCAAAATATGACTCTAGAGGAAGCATGAAGTGAACAACAACCAGTTGTAGATTATTTTAAAGTTTTCGAGTGTATAACATACATCTATATTCTTAATTAAAATAGGAGAATACTAGACAACAAGGGAGAGAAATGCATTTTTCTTGGTGTTAGTAATCAACCAAAAGCTTATAAGGTATGCAATCATAACATTAAGAAGACCCAGATCAGTCGAGACATTATTTTTGATGAAAATCGGTAAAAAAAAATGTCATTGAAGAACAAATTCTAACAAGTTTTGATGGAGAGGATGGTAAAGAACCAAACCAGACCTAAAGTGGCATGTTCCAGCAGTTGTAACATCTAAAAATGCCCAAAATGACAATCTTTCAAATTCTCAAACGACGTTAGTAATGAACAAACAAGTTGAAACAATACATAATTCACATTCTCAACATATTCGAAGAATGCCAACATGAATGTCGAATTATGAGATAACTAGAATTGATCAATCTGAAGATCCTTTCACTCATTTTGCTTTGTTTTCATATGGTGATTTAACTAAAATTATTGTAAAAGAGGAAAAATGACAATAAGATGATGAAATTGAAACTATTAAAAGAAATGACACATAAAAATCAGTAAACCTTTTAAAAGGGCACAAGACCATTGGTGTAAAGTGGATCTTCAAAACAAAACTGAAGGAAAGTTACTAAGTTATTGAAAGATGATAAGTGATAAACATTATTTACAGGAATTGTATCTATGATCTAGTTTGATGATAATGAAAACTTTATATTTATTTTTTTTAACTGTAATTTGTCTATTTAAAAATCGATAAGTTGATTGAAAAAATTATATTAGAAAATTATATCAATATTTATTTTCTATTTTCATTTTCTTTGAGTTTATTTTTATTTTACTCTTTTTGAGTTCTAACACTATCACTAATCTTTTTGTTACCATTATCTTGACTACTATCACTACAACTGCCATCAATATTAAAATTTTTACTGTTATTTTTTAATATATTTAGCATTGTTATTCTTATTATTAATGATATCACTCTCATTGAAATTTCAACTATTGCGTTCACTACAACTACCATCACTATTATCAATAAAATAATATAGTAATGTGTTTTTTGTTTGGTAGTTTTGATTGTTTGAAGATCTTATTTTTCTCTAAACATTTACTTTAATTATTTTCTGTTTTGTAAATTTCATTAACTGTAATTAGGTTTAGCAAATTATAATAACTTGATAGGAATTTTGTTATATTGGAGTCTCTTCAATTCTTAACTCCTTTATTGTAGCAAGATTTTCTTAAGATATTGATTGTGCTGATCTCTTAAAAAAAAAAAATTGCATATCATGAGTAATTTAATCTTATTTATGAATCTGACATTTTCCTCTCAAGACTATATTTGGGATAATTTTAAACTTTATACAGAATGTATTGAAGGAATTTATATTTATTTAACTCAGAATTAGTGAAAATTTACTAAAAACAATAACAATGGAGTAAATTAATTTAAATAATTATGTTAAATTGTATTACTAATTAGATGTAAAATGTATGTTTCTAATTAAATTAAATTTGAATTTTTAAATAAAATTTTGATAGAAAATCTTAGTGTGTTCCATCCGTAGCCTATTAATGGAATTACCACATTGACATTACTAGTCTGATCCATTACACGAACAAAATGGTCTGAGCCAGGATCTGAACGAAAACGTAATAAGCTTGTGGGTTTAAGCCACGTGTACAACATGGATACCATGCATTGCAGTAGGGCAGGCATAAAATTTGCAACGTTCATGCTTATATATAATTATATTATTATAATTTCTCCTTT